GGGGGGGCTGGGCTCCCTGAGGGGGAAGCAGGGCATTCTGGGAGCCTGGACCCTGGGTTTGCCGGGCCGGGGTCACGGCATCCCTCAGGGGTCAGGGGTCAAGGGTCACGGTCCCCTGGGTCCTCTCTAACCGCCGCCCCCCTTTGTCCCACAGGCCTCCAGCCTTGGCAGGAGCTGCAAAGGATTCTGGGAAACGCCAGGAGGCCAGGGCAGCAATGGCAATGCCAACGACAAGGCTGGTTGCCGCGGCGACCCCGCAGACTCGGCCCCAGCGCTGGGAGGTGCGGAGCCACCAGGTCCTGCCCGGGCCTGGTGCCGCAAAGGATTGTGGGACGGCAGCAGCCATCTTGGCAGTGGGCACAGGGATGGCAGTCATCGCGGACATGGGCTCCAACAGGGGCAGCAAGGCAGCAATCTTGGCAGCGGGTGCAGGGAAGGCGGTCATCGTGGACACCGTGGGCCAGAAGGCGGCCATCTTGGGACGGGGTGGGGAAGCCATCTTGGCGCCAGGCCCTGCACCCACCTTGAGGGCCACAGAGGCAGCCAAGCCAAGGGCCCCGACGGCGGCCATCTTCAGGAAGGCCAAGCCAGCCAATCCTGGGGCCAGTACAGCGGCCATCTTGGACACGGATGTGGCGGCCATTTTGGAAGTGGCCAAAGCAGGTGGGCGCTCAGTGGCAGCCATCTTGGATACCGCCCAAGCTGCCACCCTGATGGTCCAGAAGGCGGCCATCTTGGAAACGGCCCACCTGAGGGCCAACAAGGTGGCCATGGTGGAAGAGGGCAAGGCTGCCACATCAGTGATGAGCCAGGCGGCCATCTTAAAAATAAACCCGGACACCAACCTGAGGGCCAACAAGGCAACCATGTTAGAAGCTGACAGGGCACCCACCCCAGGAGTGAATACGGATCGATCAACCACCCCGGGGGTGGCCATTTTGGAAACAGACATGGCAGGCGCCTCGGCGGCGGGCATGGCAGCCATCTTGGAAAGGGGCCAGGCAGCCCTGTTGGAAAGGGACGAAGCAGCCATGTTGGAGACCTGGCGCCAGCGTTTCCGGGGCTTCCGCTACGAGGAGGCCCGGGGCCCACGGGAGGCCTGTGCCCCCCTGCCACAACTCTTCCACCATTGGCTGGCACCTGAGCAGAGGCCCCGGGAGCAGGTGGTGGAGCTGCTGGTGCTGGAGCAGTTCCTGGCCATCCTGCCCACGGAGACGCGACGGTGGGTGCGGGCGCGTGGGCCCTGGACCTGTGCCCAAGCGGTGGCCTGGGCTGAGGCCTTCGAGCGGGGGCAGCCGGACACCGGGACCCAGGGCCCCGAGGTGAGAGCCGGCGTCCCCGGGTGGTTACCCGTGGTGCCTGTGTGGCCTGGACAGCATGGCAGTGGCCATCTTGACATCCTCCCCATTGGAGGTGGCTCTCTTATCCCCCCCCAGTTGCCAGTGGCCATCTTGGACTCCTTCTGGTCATCAATGGCCATCTGGGCCCCCCTCTGGTCATCACCGGTAACCATCTTGGTTGGTGGCGGCCATCTCGGTTTTCCCCCATGCTTCTGGTTGCCGGGGTCCATCTAGGCTGCAGCCATCTTGGACCCCCCTTGCAGTTGGTGCTGGCCACCTTGGCTTTCCTGTGATTGGATGTGGCCATCTTAGCCCCACCCCCAACTTGGAGCCAGCCATCGTGACCACCTGGTGGGTGGCAGCCATCTTGGCCTTCCTGTGGTTGGCTGTGGCCACATTAGCCCCACCCTCAACTTGTAGGCGGCCACCTTGACCCCATCTTGGTTGCAGGCAGCCATCTTACCCTTCCCCAGCCTTGTTGGATGCGGCCATCTTGGCCCCTCCAAACTCGGGGGCATACCTCATGTTCCCCCATGTGGCGACGGCCATCTTGGCCCCCCTCATGGTTGGAGGAAGCCATCTTGGGCCCCCCTGGTTGCAGTTGGCCATCTTGGCCTGCCCCAGTTGATGGTGGCAGCCATCTTGGCCCTCCCCAGCTGGCCAGACTCATGGTCCATATGGTCCTTTTTCCCTTGGGTTTGAAACCCGTCTCCCGCTCATTGCAGTAGCTGCCCCAGGTCCTGTTTCAGGGGGTTTCATCGGGGTTTGGCTTCTCTCGGGTTCTTCCTATACATTCAGTTTAATATTTTGGAGGGGTTGTGGGGGGGGGAGGCTTTTGGGGGGTTCAAATGCACGGGGGTCTTACTCCACCTTTATTTTCATGCTTTGGAGGGTTTGGGGGTTCACGGAGGGCTTAATTGCCTTGTTTCTGGTGGTTGGGGCTTTTGGGGGGTTGGGTTTCCCTGGGCTCCTCCTGGGTCTTTATTTCAGTGTTTTGGATGTTCACAAGGATTTTCTTTTGGTTTCATTGGGTTCGGTTGAGTTTGTTTGAATGTTTTGGGGGTTTGTGGGTTTTGAGTTGGGTTTTGGGTGTTTTTCTGCTTTTGTCAGATTCTTGCTGGTTTGGGTTTGAATGTTTTGTGGGATTGTTACTGGTGTGGGATTTTCTGCTTTCATTGGGTTTTTGCTGGCTTTTCTCATGTTTGGGGGGTTTGGGGTTTTTTCTGCTTTCATTGGGTTCTTGCTTGTTTTGTGGGATTTGTAATGGGTTTGGGGGCTTTTTCTGCTTCTGGTGGGTTTTTCCTGGGTTTTCCCATGTTTTTTGGGGGGTTTGGGGGTTCCAAACTGGGGTTTGGAAGGGTATTTCATTGGGTTGTTTCTATTTTTGTTCGGATGTCTTGGGAGGGTTCATGGGTTTCATATTTGGATTTTGAGAGGGGTTGTTGGCTTTGTTGGTCCCTGCTGGTCTCTTCCAACCTTTCTGGGTGGCTGTGGGCTTCTGATGTTGTGCTTTGGGTGGTTTGGGGTTCATCAGGGGCTAATGGGTTTGTTTGAGGGGTTATTTTGTTTCCTTGGGTTTTTTCTTTTACCTGTTTAGGATTGGTTGGGGGGGTAGTATGGAGAGGGGTCTCTTTGCCAGGGTTGGGTTGGGGTTTTGGGTGGTTTTCTGGGCGGTGTTTTTAGGTTTTCTCCTCTCCTTCCTTGGTGGTTTTCTGGGTTTTCTTTTTGAGGTTTCCTTCCCTTTCATTTCCTTTCCTGGTGGCTTGTCTGTCTTCCTTCCTTCCCTCCCGGTGGTTTTCTGGGCTGTCTTTGTGGGCTTTTCTTTTCTATTTTCTTTTGTCTCTTCTTTTCTTCTTCTTTCTTTTTCCTTTCCTTCTTTTTTTTCTTTTGTATTTTCTTTTTCTTTTTCTTTTTCCCTTTCCTTTCCTTTTCATTTTCTTCTGCTTTTTTTTCCTTTCTTTCAGTGGTAAGATATACGTGTGTGTCTGTGGGTGTGCATATGGTGCTAGTGCCCAGTAACCCACCAAAGCCAAGATCTTCTTGGTCTCCCGAGACTGACAGCTGCCAGTCAATACACACACATGCACACACACACACATGCATATCTATATAACACACATACAGAGAATATATATATATGTATGTACAGAGATAATTTATACACACACATGCACATATACAAATATATAGATATCTGTAGATATAGAGAAATATATATATAAGAATACACACAACACACAAAATATAGGAGATACATAAATGTCCCTAGGTGCAGACATCTGTACCTCATCGTTCATGTTTCCTAGTTCGCTCCCGTGCCGCCCCCTCCCTTTGAAGCCCACGCAGGGCGTCCCAGACCCGGCAGGAAGCGGCTCTTTCCCATTTTGTTTTGCCCCCGTCCCACGTTCCCACTTTCAGCCATTTCCACCCCACAAACCTGGCTCCAAAGTCATCCATTTCTGTCGTTTATGTCCCAGTCTTTCCTAATAGATGAAGACGGCGGGGGGGCGGGGAGCCGCTGGGATTTCCCACAATGCATCGGGCACCAGGAGCCCCTTCCCAGCATGCACTTGAGGCAGGTTGGAAAGTCTCCGTGGCATCCCACCATGCCTAAACCAGGAGGGAAGGTCTGGGGAGAGCGGCTGGGATTCCCCTCACAGTGCCCTGGGGCAGGAGCTGGGATGGGGGCACCCGCAGCCTGGTGCTGAGCAGTGCCCCCGGTGGTCGCAGACGGTGGTGTCGTTCGAGGACGTGGCCGTGCGCTTCTCCCCGGATGAGTGGCACCTCCTGGACGATGGGCAGCGGCGGCTCTACCGGGACGTCCTGCGGGAGAACTACAGCCATGTGCGGTCACTGGGTAAGGAGGAGACAGTCCCACCCCCAACTTCCTGTCCTATCTGTCCCACCTACCCACTTCCTGTCTCTCTCTTCCACACCGCCGCGCAGGGTTCCCTGTCCCCGACTTGGCCGTCATCTTCCGGATGGAGCGAGGTGAGGAGCCGTGGCCCCCAGGCCTCCCTGCAGGTGAGTGGCCATGGGGGCAAGGCCAGGCCCCCACCTTCTCCCATCCCGCAGGTCCAGGCTGGGCCATCGACTCCGATTCGGATCTGCCTCCAATTAGGAGACTTCCCTCTACCCCGCTCTGATTCGTAGGTACCAAGAGTGACGACCAAGAGGAGGAGAGGGCCATGACTCCAAGACCTCCGGCATCCCAGAATCCTCCACCAGTGGCAGAGCCCTGTGGGACCCTCCTATCCCAGCACCCGGCACACCTGCACCACCCCCCGACATGCCCCAGTTGCGGCAAAACCTTCTGGCACCGCGATAGCCCTTCCCGGAGTGCCGGGTGCCCCAGGACCCCCGCCCCCGCAGCACCTAAAGCCACCGGGAGTCCCCACCTGGCCTGCCGGGGCTGGATCCGGTGCGATGGCTGCTGCCGGGGCCTTGTGGGCATGCACCTGCGTCGCCGTGGTGGGGGCTCCCAAGGGAAGCCGGCCGAGGACGATGCACGCACGAAAGAGCACCAGGAGGACCCAGACCTAAGCTCGGCGCTTGAGAGTGGGCACGAAGCCGAGCGCGACATCCGGGACCCTGCTGGCTGCCCGGGCATGAGATTGAGTGCCCTGGAGGCTATCAGCTGCGGACCCGGTGAAGGAGAGATGGTAGAGGGTCCCGGCATGGCTGGCCCCACCGGAGAGGGCATGCCAGAGGGTGGAGGGCTCAGCCTGGAAGAAGCAGGGTCCCAAACCCCAGCCGTGCCCCGGCGCTTCCAGTGCGGGGAGTGCGGGAAGAGCTTCGTGCACGGGTCCAGCCTCTCGCGGCACCGGCGGCGGCACGCCCGGGACCCTGCCTACCCATGCCGGGACTGCCGGCTGGCCTTCCCCACGCCTGGGCGGCTCCAGCAGCACCGGCGCGGCCACCTCCGGGCCCCAGGCCCCCACCAGTGCCCCGAGTGTGGGAAGCGCTTCTGCGGGAAGCGCTTTGGCTACCGCTCCAAGCTGGCCCGGCACCAGCGAACACACACGGGCGAGCGCCCCTACCGCTGTGGGGACTGCGGCAAGGCCTGCCCGTAGGCCTCCCCCGGCCTGCGGCACCGGCGCGCCCACCCTGGCAGCCCCCGGGCCCTGCCCCCGCAGTGGGAGGGCACTGGGGCTGGGGTCGACCTGTGCAAGGAGAGTGCCGAGCTCCCCTTGGTCATGGAAGTCAACAGCATTGAGGAATTGGCCAATGGAGAGGACAGCCAGAAGGGCATCATGGGGCTGTCGGGCAGGCAAGGGATCATCCCATTGGTCATGGAAGTCAGTGGTGGTGAGCAGTTGGCCAATGGGGAGGAGAGCCAGAAGAGCATCATGGGGCTGTCGCCCAGACAGAGAGTCCTTCCGTTGGTCATGGAAGTTGACAGAATTGAGAGGCCAGCCAATGGGGACAAGAGCCCAAAGGGCATTGTGGACCTATCGGCCAGGCAAGGACTCATCCCATTGGCCGTGGACACAAACGGTGTCGAGGCATTGGCCAACAGGGAAGGCACCCAGGAGGGCAAAGCAGAGCCCCGCCTCATGGATGACCTCTCCCCAAGCAGGATGGACCCCCCGACCTTGGCCACGGAGTGCTCAGCTGACGAGATCCCAGCGTTTCCCACCGCATGGGGCCTTCATCAGGTCACAGCGGGGCCCGGGCCTGGAGAAGACATGTCCACCCGGGAGGGCCTCCAATGGCCGGGGAGACCCGTGGCGACCCAGGAGGATGTGGAAGGTGTGTCTGCTACTGCGGGCACCTGGGAGGACAAGAGCATCTACCTCGGGCCAGGCGAGGAGGCCACCAGCGGCCACGACCCAGCAGGCCTGGGTCTCTCCCCAGCGCCCCCCAAACGTTTCCGATGCGGGGAGTGCGGGAAGAGCTTTGTGCACGGGTCCAGCCTCTCGCGGCACCGGCGCCGGCACGCCCGGGACCCCGCCTACCCATGCCGGGACTGCCGGCTGGCCTTCCCCACGCCTGGGCGGCTCCAGCAGCACCGGCATGGCCACCTCCGGGCCACCGTCCCCCACCAGTGCCCCGAGTGCGGGAAGCGCTTTGGCTACCGCTCCAAGCTGGCCCGGCACCAGCGAACACACACGGGCGAGCGCCCCTACCGCTGTGGGGACTGCGGCAAGGCCTTCGCCGATGCCTCCACCTGCCTGCGGCACCGGCGCGCCCACCCTGGCAGCCCCCGGGCCCTGCCCCCACTGGGGGTTGACCTGTGCAAGGAGGATGCTGAGCTCCCATTGGTCATGGAAGTCAACAGCGTTGAGGAGTTGGCCAACGGAGAGGACAGCCAGAAGGGCATCATGGGGCTGTCGGGCAGGCAAGGGCTCATCCCATTGGTCATGGAAGTCAGTGGTGGTGAGCAGCTGGCCCGTGAGGAGGAGAGCCAGCAGAGCACCACGGGGGTGTCGGCCAGGCAGGGATTCCTCCCAGGCATCGTGGAAGTCAACAGCATTAAGCGGTTGGGCGCCGGTGCCGAGCAGGTGCTGAGCCAGGGGGATGTCTTGGGGCTGTCGGCCAGGCCTGGGCTCCTCCCACTGGTCGTTAAAGTCAGTGGCATCGAGGAGTTGGCCAACGGGGAGCCCAGCCCAGCAGACGACCTGGCCACCGGCACGG